TGCCTCAGTTTGGCTGTTGCCTACATGCTGTGCTTTGGCACCGAGCAGTGACCCTGGTATCACCAAGTGCTAGGGGATACTGACACTCTAGAGACACCTCCACACACAGATCCAGCTCCAGCTTAAGAAAGAATTTGAAAGGGGTATCTCATGGCATAGTTCACAGTAACAAGACTAGGCCTGACCTGCTAAAACATACACAGAAGGGATAAACCATACTGACAGGTACAAAGGGGACGCCTCTGCTGTGGCAACATCTCCTAGTGGCTGTCATGAGTGGAAGGTAACAGGACACAGTCTCTTTGCCACAGGGCTGATGCACACTCAGCTTGAAAAAGAGTAAGAATTCAGTACGTTAAGTTGAAAGGTGGGGAGAAAAGCCTCCAAAAACATAAAGGGCAGATGGCTGGTGAGAGTTAACAATAAGGTTCATTTGTGGGACTCATTTGCCAGCTTCTTGTATAAGTCTTGAGATAACACCTTGTTGGATTCATAAAACACAAATGCACTAGATCAGCAGCAATTTCCCCTTTGGACTGGACTTTAATCAGGGTATTTTGGTACCTTTGCCCTCCTTTTGCATCTTTCTGAAATCTCAAAGCACATTTTAATGGGGGTTTGCAGACCCCGAACTGCAGCCTGAACATGGTTTGAACTCTCAGTGAACCACTGACAGCTGCACATAACTTCTGTTTGGGGCTACAGCAGAAGCTGAAAAGAAATCATGCTTGATTTTTCTACTTTGGGGGGCAAGTGAGGAGAACAGTCTACATAATGCATTATGGTGCAGCTTGCAGTGGTGGTGGCTGTCTCTTTTGGTGCCGCAGCTCATTTCTGTAAAGACAGCTATGCAGGATGAAGTAAGTGTTATCCTTCAGTTTCTCTAGACTGCTGACAAACATTACACTGGTCTACAACACTGATTGAACACAGAAGAGAAAACACAGAGCATGACTTCCCAAAAACGGGCAAAAACTTTGGTCCTCCCTGGAGGACACTCTGGGAAGAGGCAGAGGATAAATGGGGTCAGAACAGCCTTTTCCAGCTCCATGCAACCAAGCACAACTCAGTAACAGAGATGTTACCTCTGAGGGGCTGTGTGAAGCTTGCAGCAGACAACAGCACAGTAGGGGAAAAACTGCAATGCATGTCTGCTCTCCACAGCCAAGAGATCACAGTCAGGACTAACACACTTGCTGGAAGCTTTGCCTCAGAAGGGAGAGAATCAAAACCATGGAAGGATGGCAGGGTTTGTCCTACTGTAAATGCTGGCATTTGTAATGGAGAACAAAGTATCAACGGATGCCTGTTGCAGACACTCATGGTTTGCTTTTCACAATGTCATGTAATGATGCTTTGTACTAAGATTTCATACAGTAGTAGTTCTTTCATTTAAGCAATTACATTTTCTGCTTGTAGGAAATGGTCTCCTTTGACCATACCAAATAAGCTATTGTCCCACCAATCATATATCCATAATCAGGTACCAAAGTTTGTTTTAAGGCACTGCCATTTCTTAATAGCTCTTACCTCTTTATTAAAGGACAATGAAAGCCTAAAATCAACAGAATATTCTTCCCCAAAGACAACATCCCTTTCCTCAAGCACTGAAGCAAAAAATGGCATAGGAAGGAGAAAAAAATAATGAAATAGTTACAAAAACTAACTAAAACCTCTGTCTATGAACTCAAAAAATGCTATTTTTCACACAGTTCTAGAGCCTAATAGCAAAGTTATATTAAAGCAGTATTAAATCCTCTACATCTTCCACCCACACAAATGAAGCAGTCCCCTCCTACCCCTCCACAGCTTCCAGCCTCAAATATGCTGGCGTAAAATGATCAGACAAAATAGGTGACTTATGTTTTTATTGGTTCCTCCAGACTATGACGACATTTCCTAAAACACTGAGCCAGGAAACTATTAATGTCGCTGAAAAAGTGGAAAGGGTCAGGCTATTTTAAAGGATGTGTTTGCTAAGAGGCCTTTGTTATAGATAGACAGGCTACTTAATACTTGATTGATAATAACAAAAGTATTTCACATTCCCATAATATTTCTAGCTTGAAGGTATATTGTGAACATATTTGTTACATTGTGTTACAAATACATTCTTATTTTTCTTGTGTTATGAAAGCACTACCCCTTTTCACCTTTCTGAGAATTAAAATAAGCAGGTTAATAAGCTTGCCTAAGATTTTGTTAAGTATTGTATCTATTCCAAGATCAGAATTACCAACAGATCCATATGTGCTCCTAACCTCAGGCTTTTATTGGAGAGAGAAATGAAAATGGTCTCAGCTTATCACCATTATAATAATGAAAGGCCTGGAAGATTTTCTAGATTTATCTCAGCTGTGTTGGCCTGCATTTGGCAGCACAAGTCAGGTCAGGCACTTGCAGGTGGGGTTGGAGATCCCTTTAAAAAGCTCTGTGTGTGTTATACATAAGCACTAAACCAGAGCAACCAGTACTCTAACAGGAGCATAGCACAATGCATGCAGGACAGAGAGATCCCACAGAGACTCCTCAAAACTTTCTAGTTTTCTAGCACATACTACATGTATATAATGCTTCAATTTGGCTGCTTTGTCAGTAGGTCTGGGAAATATCAAGGGGGACACAACGGACTTGCACAAAAGCCTTGGAAGTAAAGACGCTCCAAAGACATCACCACTTCTTTTGTGGCCACACAATCTCACCCACAAACCCAGTTCTGATCCTGGCTGCACAAGAGTAGTGTGAAGGTCAGTTCCCTAATGCAGGAGTGCAAAGCAGATAGTACCACGTGTTTCACGCAGAAGAGCACTGAGGCTTCTTAAAAGAAGTATAAGTCACTCTGTTTTTACTGACAAAGGAACTTCACTCTTTTGTCACATCTCAAACAATCAGTCGGATGAGACGACAAATGCTGCAGGTAAAAATCCCACTATTTCACAGTGCCACCTCCTGGGCAAGCAAGACTGGAAAAACACCCTCATGTGTCCCTCCTCTACTGCAGCATCCAACGTTTTAGTGTCACCTCCCAAGCTCTGGTAGGCCAGGCATTACCTCTGTTCTCAGAAGGCAGGCCATGAATACACGGAAAGAAGAGCAGATTGTTTACAGCTCTCCCCACGAAACGTGAGCTGCAGCAATCCCACTCTTGGGTGAGGCTGTATCTGCATAGGCAAGCACCACACAAACCCACAGGATTAAGTTCACTCTGGGTTGCTGGCTAATCACAAATCAGGGTTTCCTTTCAACATCCAAACAGGAAATGGGAGTGGAGGAAGTGAAAGCTTAATAATTTCTTGCATGTTAACAAGCTACATGAGCCACTCCAATAAAAAAAGCTTTGCTAAGTGAACTTAAACCTAGCACACAGTCTGTCCCAAAATGGCAAGCATTTATCTTTAAAACCAAGCTGTGCATTTTGGAAAGACAACATTTAAATCAGCATAATTTAATTTCCAGGATAAGAGGACATCAAGCAGTGACCTGAAGTTGAGGATCCTAGTTTATTGCAATCAATAGTGTTGAGACTATAACCCCGAAACCAAACCCAAGGTGGTAATCCTGGCATCTGTCTTGAAATTTAGTGAAAAAACAGGATTAGAAGGGAATCATTTTACTTATCAAAAACCGTTAAGTCCATAATGGCCTCCGACAAAGGAGCAAGAAATCCAGGTCTAATGTCAGCTCAATTTCTTTGTGCCATCTTTTAGGGCTACTGTACTCTTTGGATGTGCACACCCCATAATATTTACTTGGCCACAAACAGTTAAGCACCAGGAAAGCTGGGAAATAAAGTCCCTGTAAGACACTGAGAACCCTAAAAATCCTAAAGGAGCACAGGACTTTCAGGCCTCCGTGTCAAGCACAGCAAGGAACGTCTCTCCATCTTTAGGTTAAGAGATCACAGCTCCTGGCAACTGGGAAAAGCCTAACCCATAACACACTCCTAATTTGGTAATATCTTCACAGCAGGAGCAGGAAAAACAATTTTGTGCAACTGTTGAGCAATTCTCAAGAGTTCAAGACAGATGAAAGGCCAGTTTCTTGTTTGCCTGAAGATATTAGGACACATTAGAGACAAAAGTAAGATGAGTTAAATGGGTGGATGTAGACTGAAGTTTTGAGGGAACAAAACTGCAAGGTAGAATTCCTTGTTTTTTATGGATGTACCCAATGAAAAAGAAAAATCTCTTGGAAGAACTCTGCAATACAGAAAGAGATTATTTCAGTGGGCTGCATGAAGAACAGAACAGAAGCAAAGGAATTTGGAAAAGAAACCCTGCTGTCAATATAACCACTACACAATCTCATTATCTCCCAGGGATGCAAGCAAGAACAGACATATAACATAGATAGTTACCATGGCCCACAATAAACTGGCTACAATAAATAAGGAGCTAAAACTGCGTGGGTGTATGCTCTGCGTTATGGAGTGTGAAAATAAGTTTTTTCCCTACTTTCAGCAGTAGAGACATGGGCACTCCTACTTCTAAGGCAGCATTTACCATGAAGTGTTGCCAGCCATAAGCTGCCTCAATGTACTTGTTACACTGCGCACATAGCTGGAAACGCAGACCTTGCTGTGGACTCTTGTATTGTTCTGAGCAATAAAAAAGCATCTTTGCTTTGTTCTGTTGCACATGAACATCTGAATTTCCATCCTGGATCCTTCAGACTGCTTTCACAGTTGGCATTCCCTGTTTCCAAGGTAACAGGAGGCACAGCAGATATTTAATCAGCCTTGGTTTTAGACCACCCATTTGCAAAAACTCTCCAGAAGAGTTTTGAAAGCTGAAAAGCAAGGAGTCTGTAAGACTGGGTTTGGTGTTGGGATTTTTGTTTGGTAAGACATAATCATTGGTAGGTATTACATCTGTCACTGGCAACACCGATAACTTCTTCTACAGTATTCGTATTGTGACCTGGCACTCCAATACTTGTGGTATCACCTGTGTCCAAGAATTTATTTCTGTGGAGTCACTAACTAACCACTTCTTTTCTAGGATGTTTGCATCCAGGGCAGCAATGCCACTTCCTACTACGTGATAAAGACCATGAGGACTTTGCAGGACTGCCACCTGCGCCATTGCCAAAATGACGCCATCTGCCAGAACATTCAGGTTTCCAGCCTGTGATGCTCCAGCAGGTTAGCTAATCTTCACTTAACTTCTGTTGTACCAAATGGTTTTCCTTAAGCCAGAGACTTCCAATTTTCCTTCTCTCTACTTCCAGTGAGAGAGGTGTTTCCAGACATGGTTTCTTTGGTAAGGAGTGCTGATGAACTCATACCTGTTTAGCAGCTGTCACTCTATCAACAACCCACTGTCAAAAAATGGAGGAGAAATGTGCTTGACAACGTGAGAGACAAATTATGATCTGTGTCCTCCTTGCGCTACATTCACGTAAAATCCAAGGCTCACATGTGCCATTTACTTGAGTGTCTAAAGGAATGTGTAGTTGTGATCAGTTTCTCTAGATCAGACACCACATAGCTGTTAAATAATATTAAGAATGATTTCACCAGGAGATGCTTGTACTGGATTTCACCCAAAACCTTTTTATATTGCATATACTACTGTTTTGCTGCAAATATGGTCTCAAAGCAAAGTAAGAACTTTGAAGAATATATGCATGACATCATCTAGAGGAAGAGACTGCATGTTTACAGAGGTGTGGAAACACTTGACAAAATAGATTATCTTTTTCAGTCTGTATTCCAAAAAAAAAGGTTTTCTTGGACGATGAACTCAGGAGTTTCCTGAGTTTTGTTCATGGAGGGCAACCTCATGGGTGGGACATCAGGCTAGGTGCTGCATGACCAAAAAAAAAAAAAAAAGAAGAAAAAGAATCAGCAGGACAGTGCAGAAAAGCCACAATTTGAAAATTTTCCTGAGAGTCACATACTTAGTATCTTTCAGGTTAGTCTCTGGGAATCCCTGACTCAGATGTTGAATTCTTGTGAGGAATATGATTGATCCTTGCATGAAGTCTTCCTCCTCAAAGACATATTTCCAAAGGTTTTCTTTCTTTGTGATGACTACTGGGCTCTGTGTTACACAAACAGAAGAATGACAAGGCAAGAGCAGACATGCTAACATTTCAATTTATATGGTAGCTGTAAATGCTTGTATAAGCTCAAAACAAGTGGTAGTCTTACTGAGGAGGCCTCCAGCTCTAGAAGCAGCTCATATATTTAGGTGGTGGTGGAGGGGTAGGGGCTCTTACTGCTTAAATCTTCAGTAGATTTTTAAAGTTTATTTTCATAGTCTAAAGGCTTGGGAAAGTAATGATAATACCACTGTCACTGTGGTCTTGTTATTTGCATGATTTGGATCCTCAGTACCACAAACATACAAAAATAGGAAATATTTCTGCCTTGCATCCCCTCTGCAATTGAGAGATTGCCTACAGAGGGAAGAGGAACAGCTGTGGAGATGACTGCTATAAAGAATATCAGCCTCCATTTACACCCCTTCAAGTGCAAGTGACAGCTGTAAACTGTATCTAAGATTTGAGCACACAACTGTGTCAGTTAATAGTTCACTCATGGAAAAAAAGAAGATTTTTGGTTTGCTGGTGCTGTCCTGCACTTAAACTTTCTGTGCGTATTTTCAAAGGCCTCTCATTCCCAGCTGCACACAGATTTACAAAATAAGATCTGTTAGCAACTTGTTCTCCAGTTTGCAGGGATGGCTGAAGCTTACTTAACTTCTGGTAAATTAATGGAGAACATCTACCTTACTCCTTTGGTACAAGCAGGTGTAATGGAGAATTCCCTTCTGCCAAAATAAACTATCCGAGGAACAAACTAGGAGTCTTTCTCAGCAAACTTTCTGACTTTTAATTTAGATGTTATAAGGGGAAAAGCCACCAGTGAAATGGAGAAGCTAACAGATAAAAATCTCTGGAATGTCCTCTCTGCTCAGAGCTCAGGAAAACTCAATTATGCAGAGAGACCTGGCATGAGCCCCATGCTCCCCCAAGACGCAAGGGACTCCTTGAGGGTGTGAGAGCTGCAGTCCCAACCAAAAATTTCCTTTTGTCTCTATTAATCCAGCAGACCTGACAATGAACTTCTCAACCTCTGGGCAGGGAAAGCACGTGTTGGGTCACGCACTGCTGCCACCCTGGATCACGGGGTGCTGCCTGTGGCTGGAGGACTGTGTGACACAAGAAAAGTGTTCTGGCATAGCTGAAGCACCCTTGTTAAAAGGCCTCCTGTCAGCAGCAGGCATGACTGACTGGTAGAGATCAGGCTTAACTAAGTAAACTCCATTTTTCACCTCATCCCACAAGGCAGGTGTGGCTGGTTGAGAAATCAAGGCTCACGCTTCCCCAAGGCCCTGCCCTGCCTCTTTACAGGGAGGAGGAAACGCAGCTGCCTCTGTTGCAAACTGGGCATGGTCCAGGTTAAGCTGTGGGGTAACGTGAGGTCAGCCTGGTGTGATGATGGTCTGATGTTCACAGCATGCACTGTGCCAGGAATGGTTAGTGAGTCACACAGCTCTCAGAAAGGTGTCTGGTCCACGTGAAATAGAGAGACTCAAGAAACATCACTTGCTTTAGCTGAAGTAAGGACAGTAAGGACATATGGCAAAGTCACACAGCTGCTGTGGAAACAAAGGGTATGCCAGGCAGTAGGTTTTCTAGGAGACAGCCAGCCAAGGAGGCTGCATCTGACCTGTGGTCTGTTTAAGAAATACAGCCTCGCTGTCTTTGGTGTTTTGTCTCATTCTGATCATGGGTTAAGCGAGGCACTCAGTCCATTGTTCTTGCGACATGATAAGTAACTAGCTACATGTAAACAAAGCAATTAAGCTCCATAAGGAACTGTTTGCCCTTCAAAGCTGAACTAAACATTGATTTTGTTTTGGGAATCCAAATATGGTAAATTACTGACAGTTAACTATGACCATGGGATTGTTTCCTGCACAGAACGGGCTCCTGGAACATGCAGCAGAAAATCACCGTTCCTTCTCTTCACCCTGACATTAACCATGTAAAGATCCTGCTGGGCTCACTGTAGCTGTCTTTTGCTGAGTATCACTTTAGCATAACTAATTTGTGATAATTTATGATAATTTTTATCACAATTTATGATAAGAATAGAGAGAGAAGCTTCTTAGGCTGGCACAGCTTGCTCTAAACCCCTGCTCTTCAGCTGTAAAACCACCGGGCTCCATCAGCACTCCTCCAGGAGAACAACTCTCAGTTGCTAACTCCTTAATGTATTTGGTAGTCAGACAATTCAGTAGGGAGCAGCACAGCACAGAAATACACACCAACCCATTATTTTCTTATTAGCTGTACTCCTGCTGCACCTAAAACCCCTAATCAACATCAGACTGTCAACTTGCTGAACAGAACAGCAAGAAGAAAGAAGGAACAGCAAAGGAAGAAAGAATCCCATCCCAAATGTCTTTGAGACCAAAAGACTGGATACTTTAAATCCAACACACACATCCAAATCAAAAAACCCCAACTCTCCCACTGCTACTATGAGTACATGTTCAGCTTTGTAGGCTGAACTTACATATTCATAGAATGTAGTAATGTAGCACAGACAAGGTAAAAAAAGAACCACCAAAATTATACCAGAAAGGAAACATTACTAAATCCTATTGGGATTGGGGCTATTGAAAGCAAAAGTAAAAATGCATTCTGGCATAGCACCCATTATAATGCTCACTTTTATATTTTAAATGTGCAGTTTGTTCCTTAGCAAAGATTTAACAGATACCTCCAGTTACACACCTGCACTGCAGCCCTCTGCTGTGTCTGTCACTGTGGGACAGAAGCACCTGAGCGGAAGCAGGCACATGGCTGAGGGAGGAAAACCAGGAGCTGGCTGGAAGAGGACATAGTGGGGTATGTGCTGAGCCCTGTGTCAGAGAGGTCACAGCACACCAAGGGGAAGGACATAGCCTGGAAGGTGATGGCAGCTTTCTGTTCACCAAGTTCCCACTGGAAATCTGAGAGTTAAAACCACAGTCGTGGTAGATCTTCTTATATCCATTAGTCACGCTCTCCCAACAAACTCTGCTATGTGGTAGCTCTGCTTACACTGCCTTAGAAACATCCCAGCCTCCCGATGAAGTTACAAGATAAATTGTGAGTTTTGAAATACAGATAGACAAAGGTTAAGAAAACAAACTGTCTTACTTTTTACTGTAGTGCTGTAACATGCACGTCTCCACCTTTGACGAAGGGTGAAAAGCACCATTTTGTGCAACAGAATGGCAAGGACAACTGTTGGGAGGCTGAAATGGCCTGTTATGCTCATGTTATCCAACTGACATAGCTGTGGGAGACTGGGACACAGGCTGTGCAGGTGCTCTTTCCAGTATATTAACAGAAGCAGCACATCTTACACAAAGAAAAAAAAAAAAGGATACCAAAATACTTTAATTTAACTAATTTTATAAATTCTGAGTACCAAAATGGGAGGTGGGACCATGATGAAAAAGATAAAAATGGCCTTGAATTTCTTCCTGAGATTCACCTACCCTCATCAATACTACTGGCCATCAGATTTTCACAACTTACCTTCTCTATTCCTTGCAAATACTTACAGGCACACCTTCAAAACTGCCCATGTACAATGGAGGATCTCCAAGCATCCTATGCAGGAGGCAACAGTGCCAGGAGCACACAGAAAAACATTCAGCTGTTTCTAAATCAAAAGTCTACATCAAGTGCTGTCACTCAGGTTTCTACTTTTTTGACTACTGAAGATGGAATCCTTCATTCAGCAGACAATAAAGGCTTAAAGTTGCTTCTTGAGATATACCTTAGGGTGGGATAAGTTGGGAAGGGATGCAGGCCTAGAGTAGAGCTTTGGAGGCACATAGGGACCTGGAGAGTTTGGGATTTATCCTATAGAAAGATCAAGTTAACCCAGAAGAGGCAGAAAGCTGTGAAGGGCTGGACTCCAAAGCCAGGGATGAGGGGGGCTAGACCTTGGACAGACTTTAGGACAGTTGTTGGTTCCTAGTCTCAGTGAAACTGGTGTCTAGGGAAAGATCCAATTCTTTTTACAGCCAGCACAGAAATGAGATATGAGGTCTGCAGCTTTCTTATAACAGTGTAATTGCAGTGTAGGAATTCTGATTGTGAAGGACTTGAAATTGGGAAGAAAAAGGAAAGCTGCTTCTAGGTCCCTGCAGTGATTAGGTATGCCAAAGCTCAAGCTTTTATCAAATGGACGCAACTACTTTCAGCAGGTTCTACTTGTCCTTTGGACTGCTCAGCATCTATCCTTTCCCAATACAACATTTCAGGGGAAAATATTGCAGGAGTGCAGGTCAAGATGCACTCTCAAAATCTACAGAGTAGTACAAGCATTAGGTTTACCCTTATTCCTTACTTAAACATGTTGTTTCTCTGCCTCCTCTAACCTCTGCACCTTATTTTATTCTTGGCTCCATTAACTGTATACTTGGCTCTTTCTGTTCTGCCTTCATTCTCTCTGGTTTTCTTCCTCTTCACTAAAACAGCCTTTCCTTCTTGCATGCTATTTCTCCACAACAAAAATCATAACATTAACCTGATTTCACATGTGTAGCACAGTTGCTTTTACTTTTGTATTCCCCACATTTTTCCTTCCATTAATACTGCCCACAGGCCCTCTGGACCAAGGCCTGTTCAAATTTGCACTGTGTTTAGCAAAGCAGCTCCCAGAAGTTCTTGACTGGCCCCTCGGTATGCCCTGGACGATGGCACTTAACAACACTGGTTGTTGAACTTCTTACACAGCTGCCACCCTGGTCCACCTTAGGATTTGAAATTTAGGCCAACACACTAATACTGTGTCATCCCCCAGTACTGTACCTGAGGCAATTTTCTTCAGGATCACTTTGCCAACAACTTTCAAAGTGGTTGAAGAACTCTACCTCAGAACCCAGGCAACAAAAAACCCTGCTGTATCAGGGGAAACTTCATGCTACAGAGCAAAAGGCCTCTACCTTCCCTCCCTAAGAAACATAAGGCACAGTGCCTACCCTGCCCTTGCCTCTGCAGCTCAGAGGGCTTGGGAAGCACTTGCATCCCATGGTGTGGAGCATGGCAGTAAAACCTAGAAAGATTGTTCAAACAAGGTAGGACCTGGGCATCCTGTTTCTCATGGCACCATCCTCAAAATATACAACTGCTACCAAACATTACACTATAAATTTCCCATTCAACCCAAAAGGCTCTTGCCAAATATCCAAAAGAAAAAGAATAAAAATATTTATATCTTTAAACATGCTGGCTGGGTAAACAAGATTGTAGCTGGGCTTCTGTTATGTCCAGTTTCCCCTTGTGCAGGCTGAAGCAGACCTAAATGTTTACAGCAGACACTCATGGCTCATGGGCTGCACTCATGGACTACGGGCTGCCCTTCCCACCGCTCTGCCTGGCAGGAGCAGAGTAAGGCCTGAACGCAAGGATGGGTGTCTGCTTATGCTTAGAAGGTGACAACCCTTGAGCACTCTGCAGATGCTGAATTTCTCAGCCAGCTGAAATAAATCATTCCCACACTATGTGTGAACACCACGCACGCCTACAGGAACGACTGTCAACTCTTTTTCAGGTCCTGAGTGCCTGATGGACCCTCTTTGTAGCTACAGAATAATGCCTTTCTGCATCCTCCATAATTTATGATCCTTCCTAATTTTTTGTGGGGTCAATTTACTCTCAGATAATTATCTAAAATTTAAATTAAAAAAAAAATCATTACCAAAAATGGTCCTCTCCAGCTCTCACTGCAAGCATTTCGAGGTCCATCTGTCCGTTCCATTGCCACCAGTCACCCTTTACAATGCCTGTGTGCTAGAATTCACTGTGTCATTAATGTGACAAATCTAATTATCCGTTACATTAATACCTATTATACTATGTTGCTTTTAGCCAAAATTATCATTCATACATAGAGGCATGTGCCTTTTATAACTCAACGTCTTTGGACTACATTAGTGTTTCAGTGTACTTATTATACCGAAGCTTTATGACAAAAGACCTCTAAGCCTACATATATCCTACCTACCTGTAGTAACAGTCTTCAAAACTCTTCAAGATGACAATTGAAAATCTGTAACCTGTAAGGAGCTTGCAACATTTCAATCCCATGCAGAAAGTAACTTCTACGCTTTAATGCCAGTAAGCAAACACAGGAAATAAACATCCAAATTAAGATACCTGAGGGACTTTTTCAGTTAGCACCTTAAAGAATACAATGTTTTAACATAAGGAGAATTCAAATAGTTAAAAATAATTTTATGACAGAGTTGAGTACAGGAGCTCCATTTCAGGTAAGCACCTGAACTCCTGACTTGTCCTAGACTGAAGGTCTGACACATCCAGTCAGCAGGTCTGATCTCCAATGACATCTCTGTATTTCCAGCCCAAGTATATACTGATATATCACTCTACAGTAAAGAGGGAAGATCCTTTTCAAAGCTTCTAGTATCTGAAGTGCTTCTGAAATATGGATTTGCTACTCTAGTCAGAGCACCTCAGATGCACTTATTCTGCAAATTTCTTCTTATAAACCACACAATTAATAGGAGACAACTTGTAATCTAGTGAACTGTCAGTAAGAGAATCAACAATAAAAATCAGTTAAGTGCTACTGTCTATCCAGTTTTTCTGGTTAATTCTTGTGGTTTTATCATCACTGTGTTTTCTCCCCTCCCTCAGTGCCTGAGAGAACAAACACATAGAGTGTTTGCCTATTTAGCCATGCAAACACAGCAATGGCAGAGAATATGCTTGAAAATTGTCTGAACTATTATAGAGAGAAAAAATGGATTCTTTTTCTCTTGAGTAGTCACAGTCATTACTTGTAACAGGGATATGCAAAAAACATTAAAGTGGATGTATGAACTCTTACTTGATGATATGCTGTAGTCCATTTCATCTGAGGAAGTGCTGTTACAGGGAATAATAGTGAGAGCATTTTGATATGGGCCACAGAACTGGCTAACACCAGTTTCATTGCTCAGTGTAGCATATTTTTCCTATTATGTAATGCTTATTGGAGGTATTATAATGATACATAGCTGAAAGCCACCAGTAAAAGCTTTCACAAGGGACCATGCAGAGAAAACTGATACAATGATAAAGAGGCAGCACTTGATTGTTTTTCCTTATATTCTTTTGTACCTTTTGGTGGCTATTAAATCAGTATGTTCTGATCAGATCTCTTAACCTCACCTGCTACCTTTATGATACCAT